GACCCAGCGCTCTTTCCTGCCTATGCAGGGGGTCGGACTCGATGATCTACTGAGGTCCCTTCCAACCCTAACATCTATGAATCTATGACTATGTTTCATTTCATTTCAGTTTTGGATTCAGCCATTTCGGAGGACAGTGATTTGTTTTGGTGTTTCAGATCACTGTTCCATTTCGATTCAGCTGAATCTGTTTCAGAGTTTCGATGCTGTTTCAGTGCTGATTCAGAGATTCAGATTGGCCAGGGAGAGGCCGACACTGCTGGGCAGCTGCAGGTTCTCCCGTGTCTCCTCTGGCTGTGCCTACCTCTGCCCTGGCAGGGTGAGCCATGTGAGTAACTGCTATGGCTGTGCTGCCTGGTCCCATCCCCCATCCAGTCCCACTCTCCTGGCACTTAAAAAAAATAAATCACCAGATGCAGCAGTGGTGGGGCAGCGGAGATCGCCCCCCTGCCTGGCAGCCACGTGGCAGCTGTCACTTTGTGTGGGTGCAGTGCAGCTTGGCAGGGCTCCACACACTGTCTGGGAGCTGGGGTGGCTCCAGCAGTCAGCTGGAGCCCAGCACTGCTCAGCCCCACACTGCCCTATCGAGCTGCGCTACACCCACGCCATGGGGCAGCTGCTGTGCGGGTGCCAGGCAGGGGGGCAATACCTGCTGCCCCCCACTGCCCCATTCTGCACAGGAGGGCTCTGCCATGAGCACCCAGAGGCCCCAATCACTGCTACTGCATCCAGTGAGTGTGAGGCTTTTTTTTTTAAAAAGCTCCGCATTCATCAGCTGAAGCAGCAGCAATTGGGGTTTCTGGGCACTCATGGCAGAGCCCCCCCCCCGTGAAGTGCAGGGCAGTGGGAATCACCCCCCTGCCCCCCTGCTTGGCACCCGTATAGCAGCTGTTGCACCGCACAAGGTCTGGGAGCTGGGGTCACTGGGACTGAGAGGTTCTAGGCTCCGGCTGACTGCTGGAGCTGCCCCAGCTGCTAGACAGCATGTGAGACCCTGCCAAACGGCGCTGCACCTGCACGATACGAGAGCTGCCGCACAGATGCCAAGCGGGGGGAGGGGTGATCCCTGCTGCCCACCTGCCCCGCACTGCATGGCGGGGCTCTGCAATGAGCCCTCAGAGGCCCTGATCACTGATGCTGCAGCTAGTGAATGCGGGGATTTTTTTTTTATTATTTTTTTTTTGAAGTGCCAGGAGGCTGGGGCTGGGGTGGGCTGGGGCTGGTCAGGGCAGCCATGGGGCTTTTCCTGCAGCTCCTCTGGCTGTGCCTGCCTCTCCCTAGGTGGGGGAGCCACTGCCCTGCCTGGCCCTATCCCCCATCCGGCCCCAGCCTCCCACCACTCTAAAAGGAGGGCTGTGGGGCTGTGCCGGGGTGCCTCCAAAACATCTGAAACATTTCCAAAATGTTTCAGATAGTTTCGTTTAGTTTTAGAGATGCTTCAGAGCCTTCTATTTCATTTTGGATTCAGTGTTTTGGGTGACAAAACAGGCCGACACGCCTCCAAAATGAAATGGCTGCCAAAATTTCACACAGCCCTCACCCCACAATTTTTATGGTGTCAGAAAAATTGTGGGGTTCTCTTACTTGCTTGGGTTTTTCCAGCCTTCAGGGGAAAACTGGCTGCTTCCAAAGTCTGTGAAAGAAATTCAGGTTCTGAATGTAAACTTCGGTGCACATTAAAAAGGCTGCCTATACACATGCTTGGAGGAAGTGGTGGGGTGGGAGGGTGTGTGTTAATATGAGTGACTCCTAGACAGCTGCTCTAATTAAAGTGCCTCATTGTTATGTGTAATAAGCCCCTGTGTGTTTAAAAGTTACCTCATTCAACAAGATTTAGATAAAGCATCCCGTGGCCATTTAAAAATATTCAGGGGCTTAAAATACATGAGCCACGTGAGATGATGCTGCATCAGTGCTGGAGCATTCTACTTGGAACATGGAGCAGTCTTGATTAATCAAGTCTGCTCTGTCACACTCTAATTCAAATGCCAATGAGCACGTGTATAGGCAGCCTAATAGAAGAACACTTGCAAGTGGGTGCTGAGGGGACTCCCTTTAACTTCAGCTAACTTCAGAGGTGGGAGAACTGCTGTGTCATCTTTCTTCATTGCATGTCATTTCATTTCCATTCCTATCCAGTTGCCCACACTCCACCATTCCCATCCCACTCTAGGCTTCCCCACTGCCTCCTCCCATCTCTTCCGGTGTTTCTCTTCCATCTCTTCCAGTGTCGTTTCCCATCACATATTCCCTCTTCTGTCCTCTTTTTCCTTGTACCCCTTAGCCTCCCTCCTATTTTCTTTATTTCCATATGCTCTTTAATCTCCTCAAACCCCACAATCCCACAAAATCCTTAACCTTCCCTCCTTGTATCCAAATTCCCCAGATACTCATTTGTTTTGCTTCATATTCCATCTTGCTTCCTTTGTTTTTTTAACTGCTTCATGATCTCAGCCTTAACTCCCTTTCACCACACTTCTTATATGGGAATAATAATACTCAGTATTTATATGATTATTTACATGCTCAGAGCAGCATACAGCCATTAATAAATTCACCCTCCCAATACTGTTGAGGTGAATGTCTAAAACAACTAGAATTACCCACTTATGAAATGTAGACATCAAGTAAACTTGGATTAAAAATGTGTTAGCCAACATGTTGTAACTGTTTGGAGGATATAGCACAGATAACAAAGTATGCATATTGCTGTTAAACTGGCATAGCCAATGTCTAGAGGCCAGCCTAGTTTTCAATTTGACCATTTCAGTAGTATTGTACTAACCTTTTCAAACATACATTTGAATGGTGTGCATTTTAAAACCATACATGTAAATCCTAATCTAGATAAGGCCTTGTGGAATCTCAGCATGGGTATCAAAGTACTTGTACCTCATTTGAGGGAAGTATTAGCAAGCATCAAGTTCAGTTGGCCAATAAAGGTAAGAGAGTTAATATTGAAGTCAGTGACTGGATAAAAGAAGTCTCTTCCAGGCTCAGGGGTCCCTGGGAAGTGAGTGGGGCCTTCTGCCAGTTCTGCAGACCTGGAAGGAGAGTTTTTGTGACTGAAAGAAGGAATAAAGCGGAAGGACACAATCACTTCAAAAATCATGGGCCAGACGTTAACGAAAGCCTGTATTCAGCACAGTCCCTTTTTCCAAATTATTCCTACTACTTATTTCTATTGTTCTACAAATCAGCATCTCTCAAAGGATGGCATAAACTTCAGATCAAAACACTTAGATGACAGCCTAAACTTTATGATTCAGCCGAAACAAAATTTCATTCCATGATGGAGTGAGCTACAGGATGAGCCAAAGGTTTCCTGCCTGAAGGTCAGATATAGCATTCAGTAAAGGGCGGTGGGGTGGGGGGTGGGGGGAACATAATTAAAAACAGAAAATGTAAATTACTTATATTACAATATGCAAAACTGCAGAAGCCAGAAGGATAAAATATGCCTGTATTGGCATTCTACTGTAATGGGGAATAAAATTACTTGGGGAGGCAGCCCGAAGAGGCAGATCTAGATAGAAATGGAGAGGATTAGTAATAGTGAAGGGGCCACTAGATGTACCAGGCAATGGCTGAGGCCAATTGTCTTAATTAAGAACAGTGTCCAAACTTGTATTTTCATTTTCTCTCAGCCAGGAATTTCTGTCAAGACATTGTGCATAAAAAGGCATCAGCAACCTGTAATAGGAGCTGCCGGTGGAACAGGCACAGACTGTAGCACTTTCCAGACAGATTGTACTTTATAACCAAAAGTGTCAGTCCTTGAGAAGAGGTGGCCTAGTGACACAGTGAATTAGCCCATCAGGGCCAAGGTGCATCAGCAAAGTTGGGCTGAAGAAAACCCAAGAACTGAAACACATGGAGACACTGCAGGTTAGGTAGGACTAGGCACATTGCTCACCACCTCTTGCTCTCCTGTTTGCACCTTTCTTTTCTTTTTATAATCTCATCAGATTATAAATCTTTTACACAATGTGAATACAGAAGTCCCTGTCAGTCTGTATAATACTAAAAACATGGAACATGACTGAACAAAAATCACAAGAGGTAATATAAACTGTAACCCAGGAGGAAAGACAAGCCTATATATAGTAGGCTGACAGTCAAGCAGTCTTAAACTAGGAGTACCTTACAGCATTGTACAGTGGGCTGCCCACAAGTCAGATTCATCCGACTCCACATTTATTAATCTTTCTTCTGTTTCCAGATTCTGCCCCTGGATTTTAGTTCTGCTTGTCCCTTAGTAGGTTCATAGGCTAACACTAATGGGATTGTGTAACACTTCAAAGAAGTTCACTTCTAACTGTAGTAACTCACTGCTAGGCAGAGGGAAGGGTGATTACACAACAAAAGCCAAACCCCAGGGTATGCATCTTCTATATTGACTTAAAATAAAAAACCCTAAAACATTAATGTCATAGCAACATAGCAAAACAATTCACTTAAAAAAGGAAATAGTGTTGTGTGGAGTTAATAATTCCTAGCTCTTTAGAGTAAATGTTTTCAGTAGTACTCCACAACTAGACTGGATTAACTACTGTTCCAGGTATATTCTGACAAAATGTAGTTCTTTCCCCTTTTAAAAAACATTAAAATGTGGATCTGCCCTGAAATATGACTCTCAAAATATGTGGTCCTTGTTTATTGTCCTTCTCTGACTTTAAACTTTGATCAGTTTACAAGTGAGAAGATTTTATTCCTCCCTGCCAGCCTGGCACCTGAGAGTTATGCTGGGCTCTCATATCACCAGTAACAAAGGTTCTCACATCAGTTAAACTGTTTCAAACCCAGAGTTTTCAGATTCTCGTTTCTGCTACACAGTGCCACTCCAAATTTTCACCTGTAATTTGCATTTAGTTAAAAATTCTGTTTAAGACCACAGAACTAAAATAGAAAGCAATTCCCTTCTCACAGTTCAGTTGGTTTCACAGGCCTATATGTATGTCTTTTATATATAACAGATAGGTTTTATCTATGTATGTGGGTTCATTCAGCTGGGAAGAGCAGTTGTAGCTGCCCAGTTGATGAAAAAGAACCATTCTTTATCTAGAAATATCTTTGCTCAGAGAGTAAAAGATTAGCTAGCTTTGTGAAGGCGAGGAAATGGCTAAGCAAACCCTTTGCAATCATCCATCCTACTAACTATCAGAGCAGTTTTTGCTGGGGGCCACTTAGAAAGGAGTCTGAATTTGCTATACTGTACCTTTGCATTGTATATGCACTCTGCAAGTCAGAAAACAGTGCAGCAAGAAACTGGCAGAGTTAGTGAGAATTTATACAGCAATCTCCAGCTTGGCTGTTGCTATCCAAGCCAGAGAAGTTAATAACCCTCAAGGAAAGGAGAATGACTTTTAAGAAGCCATGGTAACTCACCTGTGTTGCTTTTCCTCTTTCCACTGAGGTGTTTTTTCCTAGAAAAGCCCTTTCATCCAGCTCCGGTGCCTCCCCATAAGCTCCCTTCACTCACTGACTGCTGAGTTACCCTAGCCAAGTGAAAGGTTTTGTTGGGGAAAGTGGGAGGTGTGCAGTAAGTTTGCATACAGAGCTTAAAGGCACAGGCTGAGAACCAAGAGATGAAGTCTGAAAGTACAATGCTGCTTTAAGACAATGGCATAATAGGGTTCGATGTTTATTCATTTTTAGTTCCTCAGCATAGATTTAATGGACTCAGTTTGTAAGTACATTGTTATTTCTAGTTGCCCCATGCTGGAAACTCGGCCTAACGTCTCAAAGTTCTTTGTTGCTTTTAGCTTGTCAGGAAGATCCCACAGGATAGATTCTGCTGTGCTCTCCCGGCCTTTCCCTCCCTGGAGTTTTATAAGTGTCATCAAATGCAGAATTTTACCTTTCATGATGTACTTAGTTTATTAACTACTCAGAACTGTGTTGACTTCATAAAGTAAAAGCTTGTTAGCAATGAGAGTCAATAGATGTGATTCTGTCCGCAAAAGTAGCAACTAAGTAAGGACCGTTTTACAGAATTGCTTTTCACAACAAAATGTCTCTCTCTGTTACTTATGTCATCCACTACTCATCATAGTAGTGATGTAGTGCCCTGGCATCAGATGAGAGAGTCCACTCCAGTGCCAGGAGAGGCCACTACTGCCAAGAAGCAGCAATGGATGGTGGTAGTAGGTGACTCCCTCCTGCAAGGCATGGAAACATCCATCTGCTGGCTTGTCCTGTTGGCTCAGAAGATCTGCCGTTTGCCAGAAACCTGTATCCAAGATGTCATGGGCCAAGACTCATCTAGTCCACTGACTACTAACCCATGCTGCTCATCTATGTGAGCACTAATGATACTGCCAGAGATGAAGTTGAGCAGATCAATGACTCCATTGCTCTTAATGCAAGGGTGAAGGAAACAGGGTGCCCAGGCAGTGTTCTCACTGAGCGCACACATCCTGGAAATTAATGCATGGCTGAAAAGATGGCATTGCTATCAAGACTTTGGCTTCTTTGACCATGGGGTGGTGTTCACGAAGATGTACTGATGGGAAGAGATGGGATGAAGAGAGAGAAGAGTGTCTTCACTCATAAACTGATCAAAGTTTAGAGCCAGAGAAGGACAATAAACAAGGACCACATATTTTGAGTCACATTTCAGGGAAGATCCGCATTTTAATGTTTTTTAAAAGGGGAAAGAACTACATTTTGTCAGAATATACCTGGAACAGTAGTTAATCCAGTCTAGTTGTGGAGTACTACTGAAAACATTTATTCTAAAGAGCTAGGAATTATTAACTCCATACAACACTATTTCCTTTTTTTACGTGAATTGTTTTGCTATGCTGTTAATGTTTAACATTAGGGAGGATGTCACGGTGGCCATCTGCTACCAACCAGCAAACCAGGAGGAGGCGGCCTGCTTTAAACAATTGATGAAAGCTTCCAAATTGCAGGACTTGGTTCTTATGGGGAACTTTGATTATTGGGAAATCTGCTGGGAGGCAAACACAGCAGTGCACAAGTAGTCCAGAAAATTCTTGGAGTGGACTGGGGATAATTTTTTGATACAGATGGTGGAAAGGCCAACTGGTCTTTGGCCAAAGGCATGACTTACTGCTCACCAACATGGAAAAATTGGTTGAGAATCTGAAGGTGGAAGGTAACTTGGGTGACAGTGATCATGAAATGATAGATCCTAAAGGGGAGGATGGAAGGAGAGCATCAGAATAAGCATACTGGACTTCAGAAAAGCAGACTTTAACAGACTTAGAGAAGTGGTGAGCAGGATCCCCTGGGAGGCAAGTCTGAGTGGAAAAGGAGTCCAGAAGAGCTGGCTGTATTTCAAAGAGGCTCTCTTGAACAAGAGCAAGCTACCCCAATGAGGCAGAAGAATGGGAAGTGCAATAGGAGACCAGGCTGGCTAGACAGCAATCTCTTCAGAGTTGAAACTCAAAAAGGACTCCTACAAAAAGTGGAAATATGGTCATAGTACTAGGGAAGAATATAAGAATATCACTTGGGCATGCAGGGTGAAAATTAGGAATTCCAAGTCATGATTTGAGATGCAGCTGGCAAGGGACATAAAAGGCAATAGAAAGGGATTCTACAGGTACGTCAAAAACAAGAGGAAGACCACAGAAACCATAGATTCCTTATGGAATGCAGAAGGCAGTCTTGCTACAGATGATATAGAGAAGGTTGAAGTATTTAATGCCTTTTTTACTTCAGTTTTAACAAATAAGGGTAGCTACCAGATGATGAGTGCAGTTGGCAGCAGACATAGGGAAGATGACAAACATCCTGGAGCAGTGGTACTCAGCCTTTTTCCCTAGTAGGCCAGATGGGTACTACTTGGTCTGATCATGGACCGGATGATGGCTCTGATCCAGCACCTAAGGCCACTGTGGCAGTCACCATTTGGCCATATGGAGGGGACAGGGATAGCCTGGCCTCACAGGGGTAGAAGGGAGCTTTACTCCGCCCTGTGAGAGACATGACATGGCTGGAGGGGTGAAGAGGGCATTAATTGGCTCTGCTGGGGGTAGGGGACATGGCTCAGCAACAACTCAGCCCCATGGGG